GAAATTTTTGAAAAATCATAAATCCCGCAATGATCAATATTTTTCAAAATTTGTTTTTTCAAAATGTTTGTCTGATGGCCAACTTTCTAGAAAAAAATCGAGCAGAAAATTCCAGACGTCAATTTTTTTTGGTTTCAGATTTCACGCGGATCTGGTCATTTTTGAAGCACATTACTATTCGCCACCGCAACGTAGATGTGGGAGCCATCAAGTGGTCTCTGCACTAACTACTTTTGGCGGGCAACGAATGAGATCACTGGGTTCTCCTTGATCTCATTGGTTGAGCTCCATCATTGGTTCCCTCCTAGGGATCTCATTAGTTGCCCCCCAAGAGTAGTTGGTTTGGGGACCACTTGGTGGCTCCCACATCTACGTTGCGATCGCGAATACAAGTCGATTATTTTTTCGATCGGATTTTAGTCAATGAGAACGTACTATTTGAGGCTGGCAAACAGATTTTTGTATCGTTATTTACATCGCTTCGACCCGGTTACGGTATGCTGCGATGAGGATCAAGACTTTAAATGGTTAAATTTCACCATTCTACCCGACCGGGTTTTGAACTCGGAACCTTTCGCACGTGAGGCAACGAACTTACCCACTGCGCCAAGCCACCGGGCGGCAAACAGATTTATTCTGAATATTGTTTCCTCGATTTGCTATTTCGCATTAGCTGTGCATTTGTAGGTAAATATTTCGCGCTAGCTTTTAATTTAATTAGTTTCTCGTCAGAATCCGCCTCAGAGAAATAACCCGACGAATACCACTCACTTCCAAAAATTGATGTTGCCAAATTTTACAGAAAAATTTGACATATTCTTCTCTGTGCAATAAAGCTACTAGTCAATACTTGATAAGTTTGAAGAAGTTATGTATTAGTGCCCAATATTTAGCAGTCACTTTCCTTTTTGCTTCCGAATGTAAATATTGCAATCGATCGATTTTACTATTCCCGAAGTCACCCTTTGTGATTTCTTATGAAAATGTCTATATGATGTTATGATGTTTCGATGAATATAAAATGTTCCCTTAGAATCTCCGGGATCCTCCATATAACAAACAATTTATTATAATTTGTACATTACTTTATATTTTAAAGAAGTGATACTTTCATAAGAAATCACAAGGGATAGTGATTTTCGAGGAGGACGTGGCTGTTGAAGGGTCCCAAAAAAACCGTAAAAAATGTATGTTAAGTTAGGTTAGATGTTCACTGTTTTAATACAGATTTCTGATCTTAAATTTACGGACATTTTGATCTTAAATGAAGATCTATAATTTTTAGAGCAATAAAACGCCATTTCGCGACTCGCTGAAACGGAAATTATTCATTATAAAAGTTTGACAGTGACGATAATTTTCATTAAACTAGACAACTCGTAAATTAGTGAGAAAAATTATACAAAATAGTTTTTTGTTAAAATAAAGATTGTCATTAAACCCTTGCATTACAAATAAATATGGTACTATCCTATGTGGACCGGTTTGGCAAACAATTATACATACATGCAGACTTCTTCAATTTTTAAGTGAATAAATACATCTACACATGGAGTTATAAACCTCAGAAAAACTTGAGATCTTCATGTGATATGCCACTCCAAATAATTATGCTAAAAAATGCAATGGCTAAAGAAAAACACGGTAATTAACGTAATAGACGATTTTTCATAAACTGTTCCATCTCCTGAACTACTGAACCAATTAAGCGCAAATCCTCCCGACTTGTGTAGCTAAATAGTATTGATCAATATCCAAAATTTTAGATCGTCAAATAAGTTTTCCACCACATTATAGCACGCATGAGCAAGCCTACCACATTAAAATAGAAAAATCAGGCCCGCTCGCGTGCTTCGCGCGCTCACTCTTTGGGGTGTGACCGTAGGGGTGGGTGGAATTGGGTGTGACCCATTACGGGTCGAACCAATAACTTCCCGACCGATTCCCATTTGTCTGTTCATTAGAATAAAAAACGCAAATTTTGAAATTTCCATCTTGATAACTACAAAATGGCTGAGACGATTTTACTTGGCATCCACATAAAATCGAACTATATAAAGATGCATCGATTGCATGAGCAGGAATCAAATCCCATCAATTTTCTACGTGGAATTATTGAATTGTCAAAAAAATAACGAGACAATAGCTGAGATGATTTTTCTTTTAATTCAATAAGATTTACTCTACACAGAGACGCCTCGATTGCATCCAAAATAAATTGCGTGGAATAACAATTACAAATCACTCTTTTCAACTTCTATGTTTGAATAATTAAGCAACCACAATTTTTTTTTTAAAACCACTTGAAAATTTTTGTCCACTTTAAAGTTGAACCCACTTCAAAATTTTCTCAACTCCAAAATTCATCTACTTGAAAAGTTTTCTACTTCGAAGTTAACTCACTCCAAGATTCTCCAACCTTCTCCAATTTTCCCTTTTTTTCAAATTGCAAAATTCGAAAGTTTTATTGAAATAACTACAAAACCACTGAGGAGACTTCGCTCAAAATCCACTTACACTCAAGATGTATGATGACGCAGCGATTACACGAAATTGATTCAAATTCCATCGTTATTTCAGATGAAATCGTCGAATTTCAGTAAAAGTAAAGTTGTTTGACATTTTCTCATGTTTTATGCAGATAACTGGAAACCCGCTGAGGCAATCATTTCCATAATCTAATCAGTTATAAGTTACATGAAGACGCATCGATCAAAAAAAAAAAAGTTGGATCGGTTCGTTCGTTCTGGAGAAATCGTTGGACAAAATTTCACTCACATACGGTGCTACGCAGGAGAATACACACACACACACGCACACATACATTTCTTCAGAAACGTTTCAGGATGACTCTAGAGGTCAAGAAACGTGGACAAATCATCGAAATTCAACATTTCATTTTCGGGGTCATTACAATAACTTCCTCCCTTCGGGTCAGGAAGTTAAAAATGACAATATCTCACAAACGTTCAATGAAACGGTACTCATATTTTGATCAGATCATTTTTTGGTCAGAGAGCCACCATTATAACGAATATTTTGAAAAAAAATTGAATTCGGCTGAGTGGTTTTTGAGATATTAAAGGAAAAAACATACAAAGTTTTCATATACAAAGTTGAATATCTCCGGAACTAGGGGAGGGTAAGATAAAACGGACCAGGCGGGCAAAACGAACCCCTAGGGCAAAACGGACCACTGACAGAAAATTGATAATTTATTTTTTTGCTTCCAACTGGAGCAAATTCGAAGTTATTAGTGGTTTGATGTGATTAGCAAATCTGATCAAATTGCGGTTCAACGACACTTGTTGTCTATAAAATCCCTGTGACAGTTACGATCCAAAAAGCTCGCTTTTAATTCAACAGTTTCAGTGTTCCTGATTTGTAGGAAAGAAAAAAAACGACACTTACCGATTTTCTTTCAGTGGTCAGTTTTGCTCTACCCTCCCCTACTCGTTCAATTTCGCACATCCAAAATACCAAACTTGTATTATTTGCTCAAATACTGCATTGACTTTGAATTTTTTGGAGTTGTAATTTCCAAAATTCTGACCTCTACAGAACAGTATTAGCAAATTATTATTGCACGCCGATAGTTCTTTACGCAGTTAGTTTTAATTTAGGGAGAGTAGAATTGAGATGAGGATCTGTTAGCAATGAGGAGATTTGGAAATGTGGAAACTTTGGAAGAATCACTCACTTTAACACTTACTATGCGATATATTTTAACAATTTTTACAAAACAGAGATGTTCCTTTCATAAGGCAACTACTTGGTACTGGATATTCGATGCTGATACTAATACTGAAAATGAATAGTCAAGTATGTCCTTATATAGGAGTTAGTTAGCTGGAGGGGTTGAGGGCGGACTTAGTGGAACTAGAAATCTTATTTTTAAGTTATTGGTTGAGAAATTTGAAAGGTGGGTGGGCCTTAATTCGGATTGGTGAAGATTTTGACAAATGAAAAATGTTGGAGAGGGAACAGCTGGCCCGTAATTACAATTTGTCGCCATACCTGGATTTGTGGATATTACTCTTGAGTCGTGAAGGGGAGGAGACGTAATACTCATTAGTGAACGCGAGGGTCGTTATGTGGGGCAATAAGATTATTAGAAATATTTATTTTTGTTAAGAAGGTGATTATCACAACTGTGGGAGGGTCAAGGTGTTGGAGTTTTCCGGAACATTGAATAGAAATGTGGCAAATGATAAAGTCTACGATGGAAACAGAAATGGGACTGTTGTTACACTGTCATTAGTGAGTTCGGAATTTTAGCCAACAATATGATAATAAAATAATTTAGAGAGAGCAGATGTGCTGAGGATGAAAACTACAATAAGTTGATAGGTCTCAAAAATTGGGGAAAGTACACGCTAGCAGACACATTAGACATGAGGCTGGGGGTTTGAATGAGAGAGAAAATTTACAATAAAAAAAAAGATATTTTCGCGTGCTTGATGCGCAACATACTCCCCCGTTGAGAGTAGTGCGATCAATTATTTCTTGGAGTTGTTGGAGTCCATAGGCAGTGGTGCTAGTCGTCGAACATTCCGATCGACTTCTCCAGTAGATGTTCGAACTTTCACCTTCCTGATGATGCCGTCGTCAGAGGGATAAGTCTGAATGACGCGACCCATGCGCCATTTCAGAGGAGGTAGATTATCATCACGCAGGAGAACCAGTGTACCAACACTGATGTCGTGATGCCCTGAAATCCACTTATGCCGAATATTCAGTTCAGAGAGGTATTCTCTATGCCAGCGGTTCCAAAAGTGTTGTTTGATTTGTTCAAGATGTTGCCAATAAGAGAGACGGTTGCTGGGTGTCTCTCTCCAATCCGGTGCTGGCAGATCGGTGTTAATATCTCCATGTAAAAAATGTGCTGGAGTGAGTGCCGTGAAGTCGTTCGGATCAGAGGATAATGGAGTCAGAGGTCGTGAGTTGAGGATTCCCTCAATCTTGATGCATAGAGTGTTGAGTTGCTGATAGGTTAGCAACTAATTCCCGATGACTTTCTTCATGTGTTGTTTGCAGGATTTTACGGCAGCTTCCCAAATGCCACCGCAGTGTGGAGATACAGGGAGAATGAAGTCCCATTCGATGCCTTGATCAGCGAGGTGTCGATGGATAAAATCAGCATGATTTTTGTCATTGAGGAGAGTGTAGAGATCCTTCAATTCCCTGTACGCACCAACGAATGTCGTTGCGTTGTCGGAGTGAAGAACCTTGCAAGACGGATGTCTGGAGATAAATCGACTGAGGGTAGCAAGAAATTCCTCGCTGGTCAAGTCATCAACTAATTCGATGTGCACGGCCTTTGTGGTGAAGCAGACAAATATGCAAATCCAGATTTTGACCTTTTTGGTATTGCGATATCGTCTTTCCTTGATGAGGAATGGACCACAATAGTCCAATCCAGTGTGGGTGAAGGGTTTGGCTTGTGTGATTCGTGCGCTGGGGAGATCTGCCATCTGATAGTTGACTGGAGCTGGATCCACCTTGGCGCAGTTGATGCACTTGTGTATGACGAGTCTCACTTGACTGCACCCATCAATGGGCCAGTAGCGTTGCCTGAGAAAATGCAATGTTGCTTGGACACCAGCATGAAGATTGATCAAATGAGTCTTTTGGATGATGAGATGAGTGATGTAGTGACCCCTGGGTAATAATATGAGATATTTACTATCCAGAGGAATATCACGAGCCTTCTGTAGCCGTCCACCCACTCGAATGAGACCCTTCTCATCAAGTTGTGGACTGAGGTTGTTCAACCGACTCTTGGCTGGAAGGGGTTTGCCTTGCTGAAGTAGTGAGAGTTCTGTGTGAAAGCCTTCTTGTTGAACCAGTTGGAGAATCCTGATCTCTGCTGCTTGGAGTTCTTGAAGAGTGAGGTGATAATGGGAAAATCGTTTTTGCCATCTTAAACACCTTGCTGTGATTCGCTTGAGCTTTTCGAATGACGAATATTGATGTAGAAAAGGATTTTTTGCTGGTTCAGTGATATGGAGACAGGTGACCTTCTTCAATTCAGGTAATTCCTTGGGTTTTTCGAGGAAGAGATGAGGCCACTGCTCTTCAGGCTGTTGAAGCCAAGTGGGTCCATGTAGCCAGAGTTTATTCTTCAGGAAGTCAGAGGCAAGTTCACCTCTAGACACTGCATCTGCTGGATTGTCGTGTGTGCGTACATGTCTCCACTCGACATTCTTGGTGAGGTCTTGGATTCGAGCCACCCTGTTGGCCACGAATCGTTGGAGGAGATGAGGGGAAGTTTTAATCCAATGAAGAGCGACAGTAGAGTCAGACCAAAAAACTTCCCGTTGCGGTGTGATGTTTGTTGCCTTCTTCACTGTGTCATACAGGTTTGAAAGGAGTTCCATTGCACAGAGTTCCAGGCGAGGGATGGTGTGATTGCCCTTTAGAGGTGTAATTCGAGATTTAGCACAATAGAGGTGCACCTGGACTTTGCCAGTGCATTCAGTAGTCTTCAGATAGATGCAGGCTCCGTAGGCACTTTGACTTGCGTCACAGAAACCATGTACTTCCAATTTTTCTTGTAGATTTGATGTGACTTGTCGCTTGAATTTTATTTCGTTGAGAAGAGGAAGTTGCGATGCAAATTCGTTCCATCTAGTGTGAATCTCTGTTGGTGTGGAGTCATCCCAGTTCAATTTAAGCTTCCACAGTTCTTGCTGAATGATTTTTGCGTGGGTTACTACTGGATTGAGTAAACCAAGAGGATCGAAGATGCGAGCGACGTCTGATGCTATGGTTCTCATGGTGATGACATCTCTGGTGGCTATGGGGTTGACAGTATACACAATACTGTCATTCTGTGAATCCCAATGAATTCCAAGAGTTTTGAGCGTTGGATCATCTCCACCGAGCAGTTGAAGATTGACAGTCGATTCTGGGAGTCCTTGGAGAATTTCTGGAGAATTGGAAGCACATTGTCGTAGATTGAAACCGCCTGCCTTCAGCAGATTGATCATTCCGTTTCGGAGAAGTAGGGCTTCTTCAAGTGTTGACGTCCCAGTGACGAGATCATCAACGTATAGATCTTGTTTGAGTCGTGAAGCTGCTAGTGGATATTTCTCGTATTCGTCGTCAGCCAACTGGTGTAGGCATCTGACTGCAAGGAATGGAGCAGAGGAGAGTCCAAACGTGACAGTTTGTAACTCATACGTATTGATATTCCCATGTTCTCGCCAAAGTATTCGTTGATATTTTGTATCCTCTGGTCTGATCAGCACCTGGCGATACATTTTTTCGATGTCTCCAGTAAAAATGTAATTATGGAGCCTGAATCTCAGCACTAGAGAAAGAATATCGTCCTGGATGGTTGGGCCAACCATCAGGGCTTCGTTGAGCGAGACTCCAGTGCTAGAGCGTGCTGAACCATCGAATACAACTCTGGTTTTGGTGGTGAGACTGGTCTCTTTGAAGACTGCGTGGTGAGGAAGGTAGAAGCCATCTTCAACTTCTGCTTCAATCCTCTTCATGTGGCCAAGATCCATGTACTCATTGATCACCTTAGTGTAGTCTTCTGCTAGCTTGGGATTCCACTTGAATTTCCGTTCCAGTGAGAGCAGGCGACGTTTCGCCTGGAGATATGAAGTACCAAGTTGATCCTTCTTCTCGTTGAAAGGCAATGCCACTACATATCGCCCTTCTGGATTGCGTGACACATTTTGCGTGAAATGAGCCTGGCAGGCTGCTTCTGCTTCTGATTGTCGGCTCTCTATGAGAGCGATGTCTTCGATTTCCCAGAATTTTTTAAATTCATCGATGATGTCAGTGAAGTGACATTTCGCTTGATGGTGATCGGACTCGTCACTCACGCTCCCACAGACAATCCAACCAAATAATGTCTTCTGGAGATGGACGTCTGCTGCGTTGGAGAGCTTGATCTGTCCTATACTGAGGATGGAGATGGAGGTGCTGGATCCCAATAAAACTTGAATTGGTGCAGGTTTATGGAAGTCCAGGTCTGCAAGAGGCAAATTCTTTGGAATCTCCAGTGATTCTCTGTCGATTTGTTCACTGGGCACGAGAGATGAGATTCTTGGGACAATTAAGAAACTCAATTCTTTCTTGAATTTATTCAGACGAGAGGTGATGGTGGTACTAACTCTATGATGCACTATTGTTGAGAGGTGATCTAGAGCCCCGATAGGGATAGAACAGGTTACCTTGTTGATGCCAAGTTCATCAGCCAATTCCTGAGTAATGAAGTTCTTGGTGGATCCAGTGTCGATGAGGGCGCGGCACTGTACTGGTTGGTGGTTTTTGTTGAGGAGATTGATCGTTGCTGTTGGAAGTATATCTTGTCCTGATGAGTCCAATGGTAGTGAGACGGCTGATGATATTGAACTGCTTGGGGTGGCTAGTCATGCGTTGGTTGCCTGTGATGTTGATGAAGAGTCCTTGTCACGATGGAGCAATGAATGGTGTCTTGCGGTTGAATCATTGCATATCCTGCAGAAACCCTTTGAGGTACATTCCTTAACTCCATGTCCCCTTGAGAGACAGTTTAGGCAGCGACCTTGCTTGAACATGAGTTTTACACGATCCTCAACATTCATTGCATTAAGCTTGGGACACTCGTATATCCTGTGGTCTTGGTCGCAGATGGGGCACTTCCTGGGGGTGTTGGTGAAGAAAGTTTGTGCCTTCGATGTAGATGAATGACCAGATGCTGTGCTGCTTGATTGCCTTGGCTGTGAGTTCTTCTGCATGAAGTTCTTATTCAGTTGTTGGTCATTCTTTTGTTTGTTGTGCTTTGATGACTCTGCACTGCTTTTAGCACAGATTCCACGTTTTTCCAGAAAGTCGAGTAGTTGCTCGTACTTTGGCATGTCATTACCTTCAATGTGTGTCTCCCACTGGAACACGAGGTCATCATCCAGCTGATTGAGAATGATAGTACTGATTAGGCCATTCAGTTGATTTTCTGCAGTACCAAAGGAACTGATTAGCCGTAGTTGTTGGCGTACGAAGTTCACGAGGTCAGTCAATGATTTATTACTCTCTGTGTTTCTCTTTCCTACGTTGAGAAGTAGAGAGCAATGACGTCGAAGGGCTTGCCTGGGAATGTCGTACTTCTTATCGAGTAAGGCCCAGGCCGCATCATAGTTGTCTGCAGTGATCTCCAATGCTTCGATCACTTGACGAGCTTCTCCAATTACCAGAGATTGGAGATACTGGAGTCTGATAACCTTTTCAATGCTACTGGGAAGACGAGCATTGAATTGGTCCTTGAATGGTCGATATTTTTCGAAACTACCGTCAAATTTATTGAGAGTGATTTCTGGCAGTTTCATATTGAAATGTGAAGAGTAGCCAGCTAGTACCTGTTGTGGTGGTGGTGCTTGTGGGGCAGGCTGAGTTTTGGAGCCTATCAAACGTCTCAGCGCTGCTACTGTGATGTGATAAAAATCTTCCACAGATTCTGTTTCTGCTAGATTTGTTGCTAGATGGTCCAGGTCCAGTTCGAGGAGTGTGGCGTTGCTCTGTTCCCATTCGGCGAATTTCTCTCGAATGGTTTTCAATTTTTCCTCAATGAGTTCAGTCGTTGCTGTGGAATCGTCCGATTGAATCCAATTGTTGCATCTTGTAATTCTTGATTTGAAGGTTGTGCGTTTATGTTTTAGTGTTTCTACCTGAGCCATTTTTGCATTTTGATTTACACGCGCGGGACTACTTGGCAACATGCACTCTGTTATGCTCCCTCGTTGCAGAGAGCCGATGGATAAAGTTTCGATATTTTGAGTCAAATACACAAGAATTATTCACTGAGTTAATTCACGAAATTTGAACACCAAGTCAATTCACGAAGTTTATACACTGAGTCAATTTCCAAAGTTTATACACAGAGCCTGTTCACGAATAAATGCACTGATTGATGATTTTTTTTTTTTTCCGGCTCGAAGGACCATGTATTATTTGCTCAAATACTGCATTGACTTTGAATTTTTTGGAGTTGTAATTTCCAAAATTCTGACCTCTACAGAACAGTATTAGCAAATTATTACTGCACGCCGATAGTTCTTTATGCAGTTAGTTTTAATTTAGGGAGAGTAGAATTGAGATGAGGATCTGTTAGCAATGAGGAGATTTGGAAATGTGGAAACTTTGGAAGAATCACTCACTTTAACACTTACTATGCGATATATTTTAACAATTTTTACAAAACAGAGATGTTCCTTTCATAAGGCAACTACTTGGTACTGGATATTCGATGCTGATACTAATACTGAAAATGAATAGTCAAGTATGTCCTTATATAGGAGTTAGTTAGCTGGAGGGGTTGAGGGCGGACTTAGTGGAACTAGAAATCTTATTTTTGAGTTATTGGTTGAGAAATTTGAAAGGTGGGTGGGCCTTAATTCGGATTGGTGAAGATTTTGACAAATGAAAAATGTTGGAGAGGGAACAGCTGGCCCGTAATTACAATTTGTCGCCATACCTGGATTTGTGGATATTACTCTTGAGTCGTGAAGGGGAGGAGACGTAATACTCATTAGTGAACGCGAGGGTCGTTATGTGGGGCAATAAGATTATTAGAAATATTTATTTTTGTTAAGAAGGTGATTATCACAACTGTGGGAGGGTCAAGGTGTTGGAGTTTTCCGGAACATTGAATAGAAATGTGGCAAATGATAAAGTCTACGATGGAAACAGAAATGGGACTGTTGTTACACTGTCATTAGTGAGTTCGGAATTTTAGCCAACAATATGATAATAAAATAACTTAGAGAGAGCAGATGTGCTGAGGATGAAAACTACAATAAGTTGATAGGTCTCAAAAATTGTGGAAAGTACACGCTAGCAGACACATTAGACATGAGGCTGGGGGTTTGAATGAGAGAGAAAATTTACAATAAAAAAAATGATATTTTCGCGTGCTTGATGCGCAACAAAACTAAAGAGCGAAAATCATACGGATTTGAAAATTTCTATCTCGATTATTTTTCAAGTTACACGGAGAGAAATTTTTGGTAAAAAATAACGTGAAATCCAGGTAAAAATTAGCCGGATGGAAGAGTAATTCTGTAGCAGTGTATTTTTGGAGCAATAAATATCCTTGGTGTGGATACATTTTAATGAACATTTCAGGATAATATTTGTTCTTATCTGAGTAAAAATTGCCAGTACGCGCGGATCGAAATTATTACATATCTTGGTAGTTTTTACAAATATCTAGATAAAAATTACTGTTCCAGAATGGTGAAATATACTAACCTTACCTACAGATTTCTTCCTCGCAGAGTNTACACAGAGCCTGTTCACGAATAAATGCACTGATTGATGATTTTTTTTTTAATCCGGCTCGAAGGACCNATTGCCAGTACGCGCGGATCGAAATTATTACATATCTTGGTAGTTTTTACAAATATCTAGATAAAAATTACTGTTCCAGAATGGTGAAATATACTAACCTTACCTACAGATTTCTTCCTCGCAGAGTTTAATATTCCAAAACACTCGAGTGTTACCGACAGAGCTCAAAGTGTTTTTACCACGAGACATTCTACTGGTAGAATTTATTGTTTGGGAGGGTGAAAAGTGTGGCGCGCATCTGGTTAGTTTTCGATGCGCACGATGGGTATAATTTAATAGAATTGGGTGAATAAAAATTATTCTATGAATTTTATAATAATTACCAGGATAACTATAATTTTTATCATTAACATAGATATTTTTTTGTCTTTGTCTAGATACATTTTGAGAAATGTATAGACAATTTTTGGTTCCTTCGGCGAAAATTACCATACAGAAGGGTAAAATTTATTTTACATATGATAAATTTACTTATTTAACATCAATTTTTGTCGAACTTGCGTATATAAATCAGACGAAAAATTCCAATAATACACGTTTATCCTTCTGGAAGGGTAATTTTTACCAAAAAATTTTCTCCGTGTATCATGGTAACAAAAAATTTTGTTGAAAAAATGACAGTAAAACTCAATTTCCTATAGCGAAGTGATTAAATTCCCACACAGCAAAAACGTTTCAATAAAATGTAAGTGTATCTAAATTTCAGGCGAACAGGTGCTCAAGCATCTTAATTCATGTTTGAAATCCAAACAAACTTTCATTTTATTCAGACGTTTTTTAGTGTCTGACAAATGTCTACAAAAGGTGTGTTAAATTCAAACATTCGTTTTTGTTATGAATGCGATGAGATAGGTATACGAATACTCTGAGAAAAAATGAAATTGGTCCAGCCATTCCTGAGATATTTGCAAATAACGATTTTTGAGAAATCATTATATCTCAAGAACTACTCAATCGATCGCGCTAAGATTTAGCACAGACTTGTGTCTTATTGGTACCAACGTAGAATGTAGAAATGCGGAAACGTAGAGTAGAAATTTTAGTACTTGACTGAACAGGCCCTGGTCCGCTGTGCCGTAAAAAAAGATCCGGTCCTGTTAAGGTTACCATTCAGGCAGGAATCGCCGCTTTTCAACAACCGTCCCGAATTAACCGTCCCTGTTTTTTTATATTATTTAAAATTAATATCATGATTTTTTCCATTTTATTATATCAAATTCAATCAAATTTTTTTAAATTTTTAAAATTTTATTTGTTCCTCATAATAAAATCACAAAATGAAACTTGGAAAATTCATGCCCAAAATATCACATAAAAAGAATTCCAAAAGGATAAGCTATATATAAAAATCGACCTTCACCGGCTTTATTCTGTGAACAAATATCTATTAACAAATGCATAGGAAAATTACTGAATTTTTAATAGAATTGGTGCAAAAAATGAAATTTTTCCATAGAATTTGAATAAAAATCTCATAGAATTCTTGTAGAGTTTCAAAGAAAATCAATAGAATTTTTTAGAGGAAGCGACATATTTTGACATATGATTTTGTTTGCTAGTCATTTATGACATTTGTTTTTTTAGTTCATAGTTGCATACAAATTTCGTGCATGTATGGAGGGAAAAGAGGGAAATCGCTATTTATTTCCATTTTTGTTAATTATGAGAATTTAGAATCTATTTTTTTGTTAATATCCGAAATGATTCGGTAATGTGCCTTATTGAAAATTATTGGAAAATTATCATGAAATGTATTGTGTTATGTTATGCTATCAAGAGATTTTATTTCCACTATACGGTGGAGTGTCCTCTATCCGCTACCACAAGACCAGCACTCATAATAAATGGATATAGGAATCCAAAAAACATCAAATATACACACAATCCTGATACATAATTCTTTAAGTATCCAAGTATTTTTCATTTTTAATGAATAATTGAGCAAGTAATCGAATAATCGTGAATTTCAATTACTGATTGCTTATAAAATTGAAAAATTCAGGATCTCGAGTAGTGGTTAATTAAAGAATCGAATAATCTCCAGCTTCGATTAATATGTTCATAAATAATCATATATTTACCGGATGTGATTAAAAATTAATCAGATAAATCACATAATTGGAATTTCAATTATTGATTAATCAATTTAATCGGTTATTGTCCACCTTGATTGCCGATTAACGAAGTATTCGAAAATATTCCAATTTTATTCTTGATTACCAGAATAATCAAAAAATTTTGTCTTCAGATCATGTACTTGATGAAGTAATTCATTAATCATAATCCTCGATTACGATTATGCCGATCCCTGCCACTGACAGACTGCGATGGTACTGTATCGAATCGCGCAATACGCAGCGATCAACCAGCAAACTTTCCTAGCAACCTGACATCCCCTGCTTCCCTCCTCGCTGTTCATGTATTAACTACCACACTGGCTGTATATTGCAGCGGATACGCTCATTCAAGATGGCTGTGAAGAGCTTGTATAGTGCATTCAGACACGTGATCAGTCGGTAATTCACAGGGTCGGTCAAGTCTCCTTTCTTCGGGAGGAGTACAGTTCTTCCCTCCACCAACCACTCAGGGACAGGCTCACTACCCTCAAGACATGACCTAAATATCCGAGCCACATGGCTATGAACAGAGGTAATCCTCTTCCACCAAAAGGTGTTGATACCATCAGGACCCAGAGCGGCGTGGCAGTTTGGATCTCCTTCGAGTGATTGGTGAAAATTCCACGTGCTGCCGACGATGTTTTTTACAAATCGCGCGAAATTCTCTAAGGATCCCCATGAGATTGGGGACCTGACCATACAGATCTCCCCGGAACTCTTCAACTCGCTCAACCGAGGGCATCTTATCTGACGCAAGTGTAGGCGCATCAAACCAACGGTTGAGATCGGAGTGGAAGACCGAATTGTCAACCACCCGACTCAACCCCTTTTCCAGAGACCGCTTTGTGGCCCCCAGAATGCGCACCTTTTCGACAAATCTCTCCTTAATCAAAAGGAGGACTGCCTTATTCAATGTGTGATGGTGGCTGCGCAAATTCGCGGATATTCGGCGAATGCGAGCCATAAAAAGCTTTCCACCAGTGATGGAGTCAATCACACACTGAATGCGCGACGCCTGCTTCCTAGCCTTTTCGGTCTTACCCTGGAGTTGTACGATGCGTCTCCGCGTTTTCACCTCAAACGAAGTCACACTTGGGAGATGAGGCTTCAAACGAAAAGCCGCATCATACACAGCCCAGTTCAGGTCGAGCAAGTTAATATTCGGAGGAAGTCCTGCGGCCAGAGCCTCATTCTCAACCGCCAGATGTTCA